TCCCCATGAAAAGTCTCCTTAGAGAACCGATTTTCCTCCCGCTGGGGCAGATTAAACAGAGCAGGTAGTACCTCGCCAGGAGAACCTGCTCTATGTGCCACCTATGCAAAAATGTCTTTTTCTCTCTCAGTCATTACCTAGCCTTAATCCTCATAAGCAAAAGCTATTAGAACAAAGTGCCCTGCAAGGTGAGGAATGGCAGAAGATTTAAAGCAAACAAACAACACTTACATGGGTTGTTCCCAAATACTTCAAATCTTCATTATCATCAGCACCCAGGAGCAATTTAAATCTTACACACCTTCAGGTCTCAACTGAGACATCACTTCTCACCTCTGTCCATCTGTTGATCTCTCTCCTTCCCTCCACAGAATGATGTGGACAGGGAGAGTTACAGATATTTACATACAGATTCTCAGAGCCTTAACTGGTGCCTTTCCCCACTAGATAGTAAACACCAAAAAGGATACACTCATTTTCTGCCTCCTTCACTCTCAGGGGTTTTAAAACACAGTGGTGACCTGCTTAAAGGCATTGGTTTTAGGTGGAAGCTTGTAGCTGGGGCCTGCCTCTCCATCCACCCTAGTCCCCATGCACCTTTACTGCCCCTAAGAGGGCCTCACCTGCAATATGTCTGGCCCTAAGCAGAATTGGAATTGCCAGCACCCTGCAACCCAGAGAGGAGGCCTCAGTAAATATTAATGAGAGGCTCAGAGGGCCATGTCTTTTCTTTCCAGATTGCATAACACTTAGAGCAAGACGGGGGTCCATGCTGGTTTAATTGGCTCCCACTAACCATGGCACTCAGGGCTTCTTTCCATTTGCAGGTGTCTCCATGGTGCTTGGTAAACATCTTCCTTTCATCCTAGGGAGACTATCATCTTCCATGGGTAAGAATCTGACTTCTTTCTTTTTTTTAATATTTATATTTCAGTTTTCGGTGGACACAACATCTTTATTTTTATGTGGTGCTGAGGATCGAACCCAGCGCCCTGCACATGCCAGGCGAGCGCATTACCGCTTGAGCCACATACCCAGCCTGAAGAATCTGACTTCTGTTCCATCTTTCTCTTTCCCTTTCTCTTGCCCAACTCTCCCTTGTCTCTTTCCCCCAAAGTCCACCACTTAATTAGGTGAGCACTTAATTAGGCTAGAGCCTGCTCAGACACCTGAGTGGGTAGCAGAAAGTGCTCATTAGGAGGATAACACTCTCTCAAGCTGGAGGCCTCCAATCCTGGGAAAGCAAGTCTTACAGGAGGCAGAGAAGGTCACAGTATTAGGGCTGGGCAAGGACTAGAGGCCGGGAAATTATAACAGGAGTTTGTGCAGATCATGCAGCGCCCTCCTGGTCATGTTGGAGTGTGGATCCTCTCTGATGGGCGTTGGGGTGTCACATGACCAGACCTGTGTTCCAGGAGCATACAGATTTCCTAAGGCTGATTTTCTGTCCCAACTGTGCCCCTAACAAAAAAAGTGTCCAGTGCCTCACCCTGGGTCTGCACAACAGGTCCTCCTGACTGGGTGGCAGCGTGTGACCATGCCAGGAGGAGGAGCCAGGCAGAAGAGCAGACACCCACCCTTCACTGCCACCCCACCCTCTGTGCCAAAACATGTTCTCCAACTTAAGCTAGTTGGGCTAGATCAGGTGGGGACTGGAGGGCTCAGAGGATTAGGACATCAGTTCCAGCCTTGAATGAAGCACATTCCACAGTCAGGTAAACAGGGTGTGGCGAACACAGGCCCAGATCAGCTCCTTTTGTGGAGGTGCATTCCCACCCAGCTGTGCCCTCTAGGAGACCTGCACAGCTCCTCCTCCCTCAGAACCTTCTCTGCTCACGTGTCCTCACCAGATTCTGCTTGTAGTCTGCAGGTGACTCATTCTGGCACCATCTCTCCATGAGGGGGAAGGGATGAAGAAAAGGGTGAGGGGGGTTTCCATCAGGACTGAGAAGCTGGCCCGACCGTGGCCCCAGTTGTACTTTCCAAGAGAAGGGCTTCTAGAGCCGCTTCTTTTTTGCTCAGGGCAAGGAACAGCCTTAAAACAAGGGGCCTGGGCCTATAGTACATCTGTAGAGGAACCTACTATTCTAAAAAAGGATCCCCAAACCACTTCATTTGCCATTGTTTTGCTGAATATGAAAATAGCCTGTGGGGCTGGGGTTGTGGCTCAGTGGTAGAGCGCTTGCCTACCGTGTGAGACACTGGGTTCAATTCTCAGCACCACAAATAAATAAATAAATAAATAAATAAAATAAAGGCATTTGTGTTCTTCTATAACTAAAAATATTAAAAAATAAAATAAAAAGAAAGTAACCTAGGCCAGGCAGGGTGGCACACACCTGTAATCCCAGCAGCTCAGGAGGCTGAGGCAGGAGGATGGCAAATTCAAAGCCAGCTTCAGCAACTTGGCGAGGCCCTCAGCAACTTGGAGAGAACCTGTCTCTAAATAAAATATAAAAAGGGCTGGGGATGTGGCTCAGTGGTTTAGTGGCCCTGAGTTCAATCCCTGGTACCAAAAGAAAAAGAAAAAAGTAACCAATATTCATTATTAAAAACAAAGTTTGAAAAATTCTAAGAAGACCTTTTTAAACCATCCACGACACTGCTCCACAAAGGTAATGCTTTGTCTTTTTCCTATCAAGTGTGAGTGTATTTTCTTTAAAAGATAGAAATATATTTTCTGTATATAATTGGAATCAAATTGTTTTTGAAGATTTTTGTTATCCTGCCTTCTAACTTCCACTTCACTGTTCCCTTAATTATCCTTCAATAATCTAAGGTAGTGACTACATAATAGCTCATTTGGTTGATAATAAAATCAGAGATAGGAACCTAGAATGAGGTATTGAGAGTTCATTTTTTAAAAGAAGGAAGTGCGCTACCTGATACAGGAGGCAGCTGTTTTACTATCTCACACCTCCACACCCTCCCCACCCCCATACTCTTAGGACTCAACTTAGGTGCTGTGTCCTCCGTGGAGTATCCTGGGAAGCCCAGCTTAGGCTCACCCCAGCCCACGGTGCTCCCACAGCACCCTGAGCATACAGCATGAGAGAACTGACCACACTGCATTAAACAGATTTCTTTGTATTTTAGTCTCCTCTATCAGGTCAAAGATCTTCGAGAGGCAGGGCTCCATCTGAATGAGCTATGAATTTCCAATGTTATCCGGGCACCAGACAACAGAAGGTGCTTAACCAACACCTGGTTAAGTCCCGTGGCCAAGAATTTGGACTGTTTCTTAAGCCGTTCTGGCTCTGCTGTGCTCTTTCTCACATTCTTAAGTTGAGTGAAGAAGAGGGTAGAGGTAGGTTAAAAAAAAAAATGCCTGAGTCATTAGTAGTAATTTGAATGCTCTTGTAAATAATGTCAGGTTGACTTGTAAATAATTCTTTGTCTGCATCTGACTCTTTTGACACAAGTGTCGATGCTAGAATCAGACAAATCCCAGCTCCATGATTTGCCAGTAGTTAGGTCTTGGGCATATTGATTCTCTGATCCTCTTGTCTTCAAGAGGAGATAAATGGAGATAATAATGAGCCTACTCTAAAGCATGTTGAGATATTGTAAATGAGATAATGTAGTGTTATGGTTTGGATCTGGAATGTCGCCAAAAGGCTCATGTGTTGAAGGTTTGGTCCCCGATGCAGCAATGTTCAGAGGTAGGGCCTTTGGGAAGGTGATTGGATCGTGAGGGCCATCTCTTCATCAGTGGACTAACCTACTGATGGATTCATGATTTGATGGCATTACTGGGAGCCAGGGGCAACTGTAGGAGGTAGGGCCCAGTTAAAAGAAGTAGGTCACCGGAAGGATACACCTTATCTATGGCCCCTGTTCCCTCTATCTCCCTTCCGGCTGCCATGAGGTAAGCAGCTCTGCTCCACTGCCTTCTCCACCATGATGCTCTGTCTCACCAGAGGCCATAGCAATGGAGTCAGCTGACCATGGACTGAAACCTCTGACCAACACATGTGATTTGGGTCTCAGTGCCGTTTTTGGCATATTGGGCTAGTTGTTATTTTAAGAAATTATTGGGCCCACGTTACAGTTCTTAGGACAATATGACCAACGGCTTTCCAGAAGCATGCGGCAATCTTGTCCCTGCTAACAGCTGAAGCACCTATCCATATGGTGCCAGCAGAGTTTGGTCAACATTTCATCTTTGCCCAGTTGGCAAAGGTTGTCTGGACCCTGATCAAACTTACCTTGAGATTCAGCACTCAGTCCAAGCATCCAGCACAAAACTCCACCTCAGTCATTCTTCCCCACGTGTCAGAAAATGAGGCAGAGGTTAGGACTGAAATGAAAGGTCACAGCATTAAAGTAGAAAGCTGTCTTAATTTTTAAGTTCAGAAGCTATTTTTCTGGCTGTCGCTGAATGATGAAGTAGAAGACTTAATGGTGAAAAACGGTCCCAAACAAGAGTCGTCCTGTCCACTCTATCCTCATCCCCATCGAACCCAAAGTCATGGTCAGTGGGAGCACAAAGGCTGCTTTGTGACCAGCTTGCTCCAGAAGAAGAGGAAGTGGCTCACCCAGTGTCACACAGCTGACAGTAGCCATTCAGAGGATCAGAGCACAGGGGTCCTTGACTTTCGGCCAGCATATCTCATCTACCTGTTGACAGCTCCATTCCTGTTTGTCCTCCTAGCCCCACAACCTCACCAGGAAGGCCAGGGTATAGTGGTAAGGAGCAGGAGGTGACACACACTCACAAGGGGCTCAGAAAACCCAAATCCATGACCTATGGTCAAATCAAGCCATCTGGACAGGTACAGCAGCATCTCTCTCAAGGGTCCCCTGGTCCTATTGGGAGACTGAGGAACCTCAGAGAGTCTGCTCACTCACCACCCCTTCTCTGCATCACCATCTCTCCTCATAGTTCTTAACCTACATATAAAAATTCTCTGGGAACAGCCTAGTTACTTGGACATCTGGCTTAATTAAAAAAAGAAAAGGGAAAGGACAAGTTTACAAAGGACCATGGCAAACAGAAGTAATCATTATAACAGTTTTATTCAAGTCTCTGTGTGCTCTGGCGTGGAGACCAGGCTGAGATCAGCATTACACTGTAATACAATAAGAGGTTTAGCCATTGAACCAAGCCTGCTTGGCATCCCTAGTTGACAATTTACAGTACCTCGAAAATAGGAGGAAAAAAAAAGAAGAAAAAGAAAGAAAGAAAAAAGACAAAGAAAAGAACCCACTAAGTTTCCTTCAGGACTTTTCCATTTTTAAATATTGTCATGACATACAATAACTTAAATCCTAAAGCAAAAATGGAAATTCAGGACACAGGGTCAGGACACGTGGACAAGACATTGGTGCAAAGAAGATTTGGGGATGAAAACAAGTCGCTAATTACATAGGAACAAAGCAAACACATATGGGACCTTTCACTTTACCTGGACTCAAAGGCCCTAAGAAGAAAATCACAAAGAAAGCATTTCTGTGAACTAAGTAAAATCCATCTCCAACTCCCTTCCTTAAAATCCTCTTAAAAAGAGTCTTAGACCATGCTATGTCTCTGGGTGGACAAGTGTGGTTGTGGACAAACGTGCAGAATAGGTAGTGAGGGGAAGCAGAGGGGCATGTGGGTGAGTTTATCATCTGCTTGCTATAGCTGGCTACCAAAGGCCTGTGGCTCACTGTGACACAAAGGCAACGGCCTAATTCCAAGTTCCCCAGGAGGAGGCACACTAGAGTCAGGCTTCCAAGCTCAAGTGGAGATAAAGAGAAGTAGAGTGAAGTTGTAATGAAGATCCATAATGGGGCAACTGTGGGCTGGAGAGAGGTCCACAGCCTTCTGGGGTGCCACACAAATCCCTGAAGTAAAATAGAGAGGAAATGGTGGCGGAGTTAGCCGCCAGGAGCAGAGAAGTCAGCTGAGCGATGGGAGGTGGTGAGTCCAGCCACACAGGCAGATGGCAGATGAGCCAAGGGACACAGCTCCTCCTTGGACAGAAGACAACTCTAAGCCTAGGTTGGCCTGAGCAAGGCTAAGTTCATTTCAGGGCTTCTGAGCAGTGGCCTAGAAATTGTGCTCAGAGGAGAAAAAGAGGACATCAGAATAGTCTCAGTCAGCAACTTGCTTCCCGCTGTGACACCAGCAGGTCATGTAACCATCTGAGCTTCAGTTGACCCAGCCTTAGGTGGGGGTAACACCCAGCTCCCAGGATTACTATAAGGAGTCAAAAAAATGTATGTCCATAAATCCTGAGGACATTGCCTCCTACGCAGCAGAAACTTATTGGTTTCTTATAGTTTATTATTGGCCTCCATATCTAGGCCAGGATAAATTCATGCCTCAGTCTGATGGAGATGAAGAAAAGGGCCACAGACAACACGGCTTTTGAAATGGGAGGTTGAATAAATAGTGAGAATGAAATAAAGATGACAGAGTTTAACAATGGTGGTGAAGAAGATTCTGGTAGAGGGCAGGGGAGGTTGGGGGGGAGGCAACACTTTAAAGGCTCCCTATCAGTCGTAGTGCTAGGGATCACTGCTCTTGACATGTGAGGGCAGAAAAATCTCCATTCACTTCTGAATCCTGGAATCCAAAGATCTCCCAATGAGGTTTCAGATGAGAATCTACAGGACCCTCTCTGCTGCCATCACTCCACCGGCCCCCCCCCCGCACACACACACACATACATATTAGCCTCAGAGAGCCTCAAGAGCAGCCAAGGAAAAGCCACCTCCAACTACAGGTCCCAGGTGGAAAACGGGATGCTGCACTGTTGTTAAGCCAATGCGTGAACATTCCCAGAGAGCTTCTGCCTCACTCAGGACTCAGGGAAAGGGCGTCCAGGAAAGAAAAAAAAAAAAAAGAAAAGAAAATACAAAATCTGCTTCACGATGCTGCTGAAGACTTCAGAAATGTGGGCAACACATTACTTCTGAAACCTGAACCTGAACTTCAGCTAGGACAGAACAAGTAAACACCCCGTCCATGGGGCCTTTGCTTACCAGGAGTTCAGAATGTCAGGGGGCCCACCCCACACATCCTAATGGGAAAGTCTTGTCTTTGAACCCCTGGAATTATAGTCCAGTATCCCATCCTGAGACACCGATCCAGTTGTCACATCCACGCCTGCTAATCAGTCTAGTAAAACTAAGAAGTGGGTGTTTGCAGGAAGAGAAGGTCAGACAAGTCAGGAGGGAAGATGGGTGAGGGGGAAGTGGGGGTCTGTTTCCAGAGGGAAAAGAGATGTATGGAAAGGCTCCCAGCTCTGGTTACCAGCTGGGCTCTGAGCCTGGAGTTTTCAGCTCAAATTCCAAAGCAGTTTCAATAGAGTGGATGGATGCAGAAAGCACGGGTAGCAAGAATCAGGAAGGACGAGTCCTACGGGCTTGAGCTCAGCAAAAGAATGCAACATTCTGAAGAGCCAAGACCAGGGCTCCCCAGGCATCTAGGGAGGTCAGGGTCCATCCAGCAACAGAAATGGACAGCTCATGGGTATGAAGAGAATACTTAGAAACAACCTGAGAAAATCAATGAGACTCCTCTGGCCTGCAGAGCCAATCAGAAGCCTGGGGGTTGGGTCCGGCTAATTAGGCACCTATGAATCAAGCAGGGTTTCAGCTCTGACCTCCCACCTTCCAACACCAGCACCCGAGGTGGAGAGCATCCAGGTGGCAATGCCAGGGGAAACACTGGGCCTGAGGTCTCCTCAGAAGGAGTAATGGGGTTTGCTTTTATATGTGGGTTTTTGTTAATTTGAATTAATTCCTCATTTTTTTCTTTTGGTACTAGGGATTAAACCCAGGAGATCTTTACCACTAAGTTTCCTCTTTATTTTTTTTATTTTGATAAAGGGTCTCACTAAGTTACCAAGGCTGATTCCAAACTTATGATCCTCCCCACTCAGCCTCCCGAGTCACTGGGATTACAGGTGTGAATTCTGGCTCTAGAAAAACATCATTTTGCCTGAAAAAAAGACACATTTGGAAACGTGCTCCTAATAATAACTGTATCTTGACAAGAAGTCATTCTCCAGTCAAGTCAAGGAGGCAATAGACCCCATATGAAGCATGGGGGAGCTACATGAAGTAGCCAATGTTCAGCTGCCTTTGACCCACGACCACACATACAGTCACACACATTCTTTTCTCCACCAAGGGAAGCAATCTAGCAAGGTAAGGCCTATCACTGTTGGACTTGGAGCTCCAGGACCACACATTTAAGTGACGGAGTCCCAATATGTTTTTAGGCTGATCCCAAACTACTGGGCTCCAGCAATCATCCTGCCTCAGCCTCCTCTGTAGATGGGACTGAAAGTGCATGCTACGGTGCCTGGCTAGGATCATACATTTTAAAGTTAAAGGGCTTCAGCTCGGGAAGGCAGCCATATTCCAGTTCAGTTGGGCTTCTGAGGTCCAGAGAGAGAAAGACATTTGCAAATTTATAGCTAATAAGTGGACAGCTCATATTACCAGGTTCTTACAACAAGGTTTCCTTGTGTTCAGAATGCACGGGAGGGTTACACTCACCTCTGCCCCAGGTTCACAATCTGGTGATGTCCTCAGGAAATGTCTAGCAGTGCACAAGCAGCTAGACTTGCTTCTTCTCTTAAGTCTTTCCAGAAATGGTTGAGTGTCTCCAACCATCTGACCTGGTCCCCTCACAACCCCAATCCCAGGCACAGGCTCAAATAAACACATCAGGAAAAGTGCAAGGCTCTGCACTCATGGGGGGCCACCAGACAGATGGCTATTTCAACCCTGAGTTAAACCCTCACAGCCATCTAGTCATCAGCACCAGCTGCTCTTTGCTCTGTGGTCAGGGCAATCCCAAGGACTCTGAAGGCTGAGGCAGGAGGGTCACAAACTCAAGGCCAGCCTGGGCAATGTAGTAAGACGCTGTCTGAAAATTAAAAAATAAAAAGGGCTGGGGATGTAGATTAGTAGTAGACCTCCTGGGGTTCAGCCGGAGCAAGAAAAAGTGAACTTTATGAGTTAAGAATGTTAGATGTAAAGGGGGTGTCTTCTTGTGTCCCTGAGCAACAGTGGCCTGGGGGAAAGGGGCTTTGTGAGGAACCCCATCCCATGATGCAGACGTCCCACAGGCAAGGGGACCCTTTCCCAAGATTCTCCAGCAGGAACTGGCCTTATCATATCAGACGGTGGCTCTTGTCAAATCAGACTGTGTCAGTGATCCCCCCAAATTAAGAGAGAGCAAACGGTCACTCAGATGCTGGCCCAACCTGCCACTTCCCATTTCTTCCTCGTTAAGACACAAATGGTGAGAACAGCCAGCCTTCCAGGTAAAGTGGGGGTTAGGGAAAGATGTTGGTCAGCACCAAGTGCTACATAAAGTGGTCGCAGAGCATGTGCTGGCCATGGGGCCCATTAGTCACACTAAGCCAGCTCCAAACCTCTCCTCTTCCAGAAGCCAAAGGATAAAACAAAAGCAAAATCCCCTAAGGCCAGGTGGCAAGGACCACAGTCAACTTCAGCCAATTCATTCTGCAGAGGTGGAGAAAGCTTCCTCTAGGAGCTGGCAGGGAGCCAGCGCCTCACTGCCCTTCTCTGATCCAGAGACTCCCACTGCCCTTTTGAAGGAAGCATATGATAACAGCTTTTAAAGGAAGGGAACCCAGAGGGGCTAAGGGACAAGCCTGAGGTCACTCAGCAACAGCAGGATGGGAACAGCTAACTTGCTCAGCCTCAGAGCCTGGTGGCCTGACTTGGCAATCAGTCCCCACGGTCTTTTAATTTCTCTTCATTCGAATCATCTTCTTCAAGCATTCTTCCCTTCTGTTCCAGACAGCATATCAAATGTAGAAGGAAAATGACGCCACTCTGTAAAGATCAGGAGGCAAAGCCAGCTAGCACTATTCCGAGTTGCTCAAATGTAGGATGTTCTTGTTATCATTGTTACTGCCAGACTCTGGGAGTGTCAAAGGATGCTAAGTTAAGAGCATCCACCAAAGCCTTATGGGGCGGGGGGAGGGGGGTAGGCAACAAAGGATAGCTTGGACATCTGTTGAGCTTGTGGCAGCTGTTTGGATCCCCCCCAAGGGGACACTGGAGGACAATTGAGTTTAGAATTAGCAATAGGAGTTGAAAGATCCAAGGAGATGGTGCAGAGCACATACTACCCATTCCCATCACCGTCTTCCATGTAGTGACACCTGGTAAGAGCAGGACAGAAGCCTCTGAGGAGAGAGGAGGACAGGGAAAGGGGGAGGCTGGCTCTGGCTGCTCACGTGGCTTCCTTCACAGCTTCAAGCCTGCTCCTGACCACGATCAGAGAGCAAGGAAACCTGAGTGGACAAAAAAACCTCACTCCAACTAATACTATCTAGATCTCTACGCCCCCTTCAGCCCTGCCCAGAGAGTGCGGCAGGCAGGGCCCCAGAAGAGCAGGCTTGGAGGAACTGAGATGGTAACTCCTCTATCTCCGCCCACGCAGACTCCCAGCAGCCTCTTTAGAATAACCCTGCTTTCACTTCTTTCAGGTACAAGTATGTCCTTAGTAAAGACCCAGCTTTCCTTTGTGTTTCCACTGCAAGGACGAATAAAAACTGGATTGAACCCTCACTCAAGGGCAGGTGGCTGTCTCACAGTTTACGCTATATCCATCACACTAGTCTATCCAAGAAGGATGGCTGCAAACTAACAAAATGGAAAAAGTGGAAAAAAAAAAAAAAGAGCAACAGAGCAGGTTTAGAGCCAGCATGGTTCACATCACCCATGGACTGAAGCCTCCCTAAGGGAGCCAAGGGTATACAAGTCATGTTCATGACTTAGGGGCTGAGGTTTTCGAGGGTCCAAGGGAAGCTCATCGTCCTCATGGGTTGGCTCAAACTGCTCACAGGATTCACATTTTTTCCTCTCCTAGCTGAGGAGAAGGGTATGGGGGCAAACGTAATCTCACACAGGGCTGGGGACAGGTCTCCATGGTACAACCCTTGTCTGACATGGGTGAGGCCCTGGTTTCAATCCCCAGCACTGAAATAATAACAATAATCTGTTACACATCGACTTCACTGACCAAAAGAAGGAGAGAGATGAGATGCAGTAACAAAATCCTGGGTGACAACACCAGGAGCCAGGGGCCCCCCAAGCCTTGGAAGGGCCCTTGAACCAGAGGGCAAATGGGCTCATAAAGCAGGGAACAAGTGAGAAGCAAGGTCCCCTCTTTAGTCCTCCGCAGGGCAGGACTTCTGTCATAGTTACAGACAAAGAGCAATGACCAGATTTGCCACTGGTGCCAGCTGCACCAGCTCCCCATTCTGGCATCCAGACAACAGACAAGGAACCTGCAGACGGACCTCCAACCACAGAATATTTCACACACACAAAAAAGGCAGTAGAGCAACATTTACAGTCTTGAGGGAAGAGGAGCAGGACCTGAGGGCTGTACTTCTAATCAGGCTGTTATTGCCACAGGAAGATCACCGTTCACATACAACACCGGAAGCCTCAGAGGAAGACAGTGAAGAAATACATGAGAAAGTTTTTGCTAAAGCTCGACACATCCAGGAAACAAATTCACATCCAGGAAACAAATGCCAAACAAGTCAGGGTGGGTTCCTGTTGTCCTTTCTACCCAGCTCGTGGTGCAGAGCACAGCATGAGAGCTAACTGCACAGAGACAGAGGTGGCCTTGGTCAGTTTCCAGTCCTTGGGACTTGAAGGCTATACATCAACGGCTCACTGAACACCTTATAAACAGCATCACTGTGCCATATCCATTTACAAAGGGTATTACGAATGGCTTGGATGTCACAAAAATGAATGGAGAAGGAATCTCCACCATTCCAACTCCCAGCGTCTAGGGATCACCCCAGTTCTGGGGCAACCAGGAGATATCTACCAACCAACCACATGACCTGAAGCCCACTGATTGCAGGGATTAGTGGGAAGACCAAAGGAAGGGCGTAACACATAAAGATCTGACAACCAAAGGGATGAACACAAAACTCTCTGACTTCAGAACTGGCACCAGGAAGCAGACCAAGCAGCTATTCCTGGGATGAGCATATGTTTGTTTCAGCACATGGTGTGACCGTATTCTGACCCCAGGAAGGCAGATGGGGGCCCTGCAACAGATGCTGGTTTCTGCCCTTGAGTGTTTCCAACAAACAAACAAACAAGGATAGACTCCACCACCCTCCTCGCTGCAACCTGGCTATACTTTCCCTAACTCCCTCCCCTTTCCTGGATTCTCACTGAGCCTGTTCCTCTTACCACCTGTGTGCTCAGATACATAGACGGAGGACCTGGAAGTGCAGGTAGGTAGTGCCAGGTCCATCCGCCCTTATGCTTCCACACTGGGCTACCTTGCCCCCAGTCCTCAGCTGGCACAAAAGGGCTTGGGACACAGGATAGCTCACATCTCACATCAAAAGAGACTCCAATTCACAGATGCTGAGGGGGAGTGGACGAGTAGCAAAATCAATCACAGAACATCCAATACTGGTGTGTGGGAAGGTTGAACTCAGGGCTAACAAAGGGACCCCCCCAGGCCAACTCTGGGCATACCCAACTGGCTGAGGAGAAGAAGCAGCAGACAGATTTGGCTGGATGACTCTGCAGGGTCACCCTAAAGGCGAGGAAGACTGTGGAGGGTGGGGGACATGCACGCGCCCCTCCCTCCCCTACACAGCCAGAGCTGATGGCCGCAGCCCCTCCAGTGGACATGAGTAGAAAGGCCCTGCAGGGCAGGAGACCCTCTGAAGTGGCCCTGTTTCCATCCCTTCCATCTTCAAAGTGCATTTTCAGTGCAAGAAGTAGGGCTGGATCTCAGGGGGCCCAATTCTGAGAAAGGGCTGTGCCAGCCAGCTCCCTCCATCTCCTCCTGCTTCCCCCTTGCCTGCCCATGCCCCTTTTCATGCTAAGACCAGAATTCCTGCTGGATCTCATAAGCAGTAGGCCTGTGTGTGTTCAGTTCAGCTCTGCACAGCGGCACGGTACTGTCCTGACTCTGCCCCTCTGCGTCCAGGTCCAGAAGCGTCCGCTCGGCGGGGGGCAGCGGCCCTGCCTGAAATGGGAGCAGGGCTGGAAGTGCAGGCCGCTCCTCCACAGTGCTGCTGCTGCTAGCAAAGCAGGAGTCCAGGTTGCTGGGTGTCTCTGTGCTGGAGCTGTTGGCTGGGGAGGCGCTGCGGGCATGGCTGGGGGACACGAACCACCAAGGGTCTAGCCTTTGCCGATTGGCAGAGGGACGTGGGCGAGGCAGAAACTCCAGAGTCTTGGGTCTCTCCAAGGTAGAGTCCTGCTGTGTGTTCCAGCGCCTTGGGGTTGGGGGAAAGACCACATTAGGGTCAGGGAGCCGGGGGAATTCACCTGGGTCTCGGCTAGGACTGGGGGTTTTCAACATTCCTGGTCAAGAAGACAAAGGGAGAAGCATCAGATGATGGCACTGTATTTCTGGGTCAGATATTCACTGCTCTCCCCACCCTGCCATCTCCCTATGCACTTAGAATAACAAGAATTAACAAATACTTACCTAACGCCTACTATGTCTACTAAGTGCCATGCAGTGTGCTGGGTGGTATTGGAGATATCACAGTACCTAGGCCAAGGTCCCTGTATCCAATAATAGTAATGAGTGTCCTATCTGCAATGAATTAACTAAAGGCAGATGCTGGCAAAAGAGCCACAAACGGGCCACATGTGTTTGTAAATCAAATCTTAATGGAACATGTGGTGGAGATACTCAATGCTTGATTTCCAACCAGAGCAGTACAGCTGAGTGGTTACAAGAGAAACTGCATGACCTGCAAAGCCCCAGTTTGCTGACCCCTGACTTAAGTAAATGTCTGTCATTCATTCTTCATCATTTAATAAATGTATGATAGGAACAGAAGTCTAAGTAGCAATATGGAGGTTTATATCTGAGAATACAAAAGCCTATGAAGAGGAAGGTCAAGTCAATGGTAAAAAAATAATTGTTACTGACACCTAAATCTCACTAAAGGTATGGCCTTCCCTGCTTCTCCTCCTGGACTGGAGCCAACTCTAAGTCAGTCTGAGATATTCCAGGGAGCAAGGGTGATGACAGGGAAAACCTGGGTTTGAGTGTGTGTATGCCCAGGTGTCGGATGCAGCAGGTAAGTGTGTGCACATGGGTAGTAACTCACCTGGACATGTGTCCATGTCTGCTGAGGCAGGTGAGTCAAGGATGAGTGTTGACAAGCGAGCTGACAGATGGAAGCCTTCCTGTGAGTGTGTCTGAGCTGATGTTGTAATGGGAGACCTGCAACCAGCTACGTGGCAGAAAACACCCTCCTACCTGCAGCACAGCATTCCTTCCTAGTATCCATGGTACTCTCCGGAAATAACCAGAAGCTAGACTCCTGCCCCTTCTGGACACTGCCTGCACAGCAGTGTTCTACCCTGACCCAGGGCCTGGACATGACAGTGCGGTACCAGGTCTGATTCTTCCAAGAACCCACTTGTCTTCTTTCAGTTGCCAGGAAAGATCCCTGCCCTGTGGCCCCATCCAACCCTGGTCACCTCCCTGACCTCAGATCGGCAATTCTTACTTGGCTGAGTAAGAGGTGGAATGGGGCTTACTCAGATCCAGAAGTAGAAAGAGGAAATGAGGCACCTACACCTTCACTCCCTGGGAGGTACAAAAGACATAGGAGAGAGGAAGCGCCCAGGACTCACCTGCTCCAGGACTGGGGCTCAACCCATTGCTGGAGGGGCTCCTGCTGGCTTGGAGAGCTACAGGCTTAAGGGCTCCATCAGAAGGAGTCCGCCGGTGACCACTCGGCTGCGTGGGGGCCGTGAGGGTGACATGGGTGGGAGTCAGGGACTGGTTAGGGTCTCTCTTGAAGCGTTCCACACGGACATTGACCAGGGGGTTGTGGGTGCACGGGGTCGGGGGCGGGGCCTCGACGGGGCTGACTGGCATCTCGTACACCACAATCTCATCGCTGTCGGAGCGCAACAGGGAGCGGGTGGAGTTGCACTCAGAAATGGAGGAGAGAGAGAGCAGCGTCAGGGAAGCGGAGGGGTCCCCCAGCAGCAGCATGGGTTCTTCCTTCTTGAAGAGCTTTCGGGAGGGGGGGCTGGTGCTCCGTCGAGGACGGCTGGCCCTCTGGAAAAGACCTTCGCGCCTCTTCTTCTCCTCCCGGGCTGGTGGCTCGGGCTCCTCTGGGGGAAGCAGCTGGCACCTGCCAGCTTCCAGCAAGTCAAACCCTAGGCCTGTGGCTGCCAGGACAGCCCCACAGCCAAGCAGAGCCACCTCACAGCGGCGGTGATGGGTACCGCTGCGCTTGAGGCTGTTGGTTGGTGTCAGCTGAGGGGTACTGGTGGCTGAGTTGACTGGGGTGGGCTCCTCATGGACTCCATCACTGTGGGGGCCATCCCCATCCTCTCCACGAGGAAACGGGATACAGAGGTAGGACTGGTTGGGTGAATGCTGTAGACGACTCTCTCCACTCCTCGGGCCTTCGCTGTCTTCATCCTCTGTGAAGAGGAGAGGAGTGGAGGAGAAAAAAAGAAATGGGTACAAAGCAGCAAGAAGAAGAATCTGGTCCTTTCCCCTGACCCCAGGCCTCCTGACTCAGTGTCAGGGATGCCAAAGTCAAACGGCCTGACGGGCAGGACCTGGAATGGACATGGAACCAAAAGGGCTGTATTCCCCGACACGCAGCTGCGACCAATATGGGGAAAGGAATCCACATTCCGGAGCCCCATTTTCCTATTTTTAGGAAAGAAGATCTGTAATTTGCTACTTCTTTGAACCTCACATGTGTGTGTGTGTGTGTGCGCGCGTGTGCGTGTGCGTGCGCACGCAATGCTAGGGATTGAGCCCAGGACCTCATGTTCTAGGCAAGTACTCTACCGCTGAGTCCCACAGAAACCCTTAGTACAAATAAAGCACAAGTCTCTAGAACACTGGATAGAACGGAAACACTCCTAATAGTTTCGTACCTTAAAATTGGAAGGACTTTTGGATTTCTAGAATGGCAGCTCAGCAACTTAAGACTAGTCTCCACAAAGGATTAGAATCCCCTATAATTGGCTCCATGGATGGAATGACCTTAGAAATCTACAGAGATACGAATATCACCTGAGAGAGCGCCTGGAGAACTTACCCACCATTCAGTAATCAGAGGATGACACCGGTAAGCCTCCTGGGAGGACAGCTGCAGTGTCTTCTACCACCACCCCCCACTTGGTGGGCTCCCCTATCCATAGAGTCAGGGACAGGAAATGCCTGATTCAAGGCCTCACCCTTCTCTTGCCCTAAGGAGACTCCAACTGGCCCCTTGGGATAAGAAGCCAAAGGTAGGCTCCATGACAGCAGGAAAAAACTGTGATTTAGAAACTCGATGAAACGGGTACAGAACAGATAGACAAAGGACAGAATGGGTGGGAGTCGAGTAAAAGCTAAGACAAATACCATTAAGCAGTATTAGGGGTCCTTAAACAGTCCTGGAAATGGCCAAGAATTCCCTGAAGGACTAGGGAGAGAACCAAGACCAGAGAAATGCTTACCCATCTCCATAAGGCTGGTGAACCCTGGCAGTGCCAGGCTACTCCTCGGGCCCTTTCCCAGGTTGGGGGCACTGGACGACCACTGCTTGTATCCATCTACCAGGGATTTGAGGCTGAAGAAGAAGAAATGAGAAGACTGTCAGAAGTGGCCACTTTCCTCACCTAGCCTCCAAGGGCTGAGGAAATGCCTTTCCTTGTCTGCCTGATCACAATGAGGACCTAGGGTCCAGGCAGCATCTCACTGAGCCCATCTTCTGCACAAACAGAAGTGTACATGCTCTAGGGAAAGAAAAGCAGCAGTCTGACCCACCCTCCTCACATGCTGTGGAACTGTGGAGAGAGCTGGGGGGCAGGGTGGGCAGACAGAATAAGGACTGCCCAGTGAATGGGGGTCCTGCCTGATCCCTTCTCAAGGGAGAAAATCCACAAACACTGAACACAACACACTCGTGACATTAGAAATACTGCAATGCAAAGACAATACTTGCAATACAAAGCAAGCATGGGCAGATGATCCAGCAGAAATGGGCTGGGCCACCCCATTCACGCCACTGCTCAATCTTCCTTTCGAACTCCTGGCATGCTTAGGCCACTTTCAAAGCCATACATTTTTCAAAAAGAAAAAAAAAAAATCAACCAACAAAGCATCACCAACCCTGTGCACTTTGGGACAGACCTATGTGGGTAGTACTTTATGCTGTACTCCGGCCCTTGGTTTGTGTGGGGATGGAGAGAAAGAGGATATCAGCTTGCTCTCAAATCCCTGTGATCAGCTCATCCAGCAAGCCAGTATCTCACCAAGGACAGACAGGGTATCCCACAAACCCCCTAATATGATGGGGGAGTCAGAGGCAGGAAGCACTGATCTTCTTCCCTAGAGGACAATAAACAGGAGCACTGAGGAATCCACATGCTGTGGTGGTTTGGGGGATCCCACAGAATAATCAAAGGTGGCTCTTTTTTTTAATGCTGAAGACCCATTCAACAAAGCCCACTCTCCCCTGAGTCCCAGGCCACTCTGAACGCAAAAGAAGGTCTGACCTTTTCCCTTGACCTCAGCAAGATGTTTCAAGTGCTGAAAGACATACCAGTGGATTCAAGTACCTCCCAACGTCCACTGGTTTCAACCAAAATAAAGAGCCAGGGAGGAGCCCGCTGCTAAACCTACAGCCTGGGACTTCCAACTGGTAATTTTATCACTTCTAGCTCTGGGTCCAAGGAAATCCAGATGAGCAAGTCAACACCAGTGCTCAAGACTAAAGGATAAATAGCCATGGATCTTCTCCCTAACGCTAAGGGTGCCAGGAGTATCCTAAATACTGGAGTGGTCAGGAAAGTGATAGATCAACACAGGAAATTTCCCAAAGTGCACAATGGTCTTGCTCTTAAAAAAAAAAAAAAAAAAAAAAGAAACTCAGCTCAGCCTTTGCAGTGATGAGACCTGATTCTATGGGGTATGAGAACAGGAAATGGAAGGATGATTGCTGCCAGCACAGCTGGTGAAAGGGTGAGGATTAGACTCACCCCAAGTGGAAATGTGGAGATTCTGATGGGGTACTTAAGCCATTAGCTTTCTCACGCCTCTGAGGGGATCTTCAATGAATAAAGAGAATCAGTAGTGAGGCTCATTCTGCTCAGCTTCTCCCATAGCCGAGATCCCAAGGCTGGGCTTGAGCTATGGTGCCAGTCACCTCCCCATGTCCAGTCAGCAAAGTCCACACCAGGAAGGAAACTTAACAAGATGGCCTGTTTGAGCTGCTTCAGGCCCAAGCCCTCCTATCTGTAGGACCCAGGTCCCAGGGCGACTGCAGGGTGGGTCTGTGAATCCAGATAACCAAGCTGTCCTGAGACAAGTGTGTATGCGTACCATTATAGAGCTGTACCATTTGTGAAAAGCAGGAAGATACACGCTCACTTAATGTTACTGAATTCAAGATAAATTACTGCCATTACATATTTTCTTCAATCAACACGCTCTAAAATTAGAAATATATAGAGAGGCTCTCAAAATTTTCTGTAATCCCAGCAGCTTGGGAGGCTGAGGCAGGAGAATTACAACTTGGCGAGGCCCTGTCTCTAAATAAAATATAAAAAGAACTGGGGATGTGGCTCAGTTAAGCATTCCTAAGTTCAATCCCTGGTACCAAAAGAATAAAAATTCCGACATCAAAGAGATTTTTTTACTCAGAACTAGATGAAATCCACTTTTATTTCTTTAATGGGAACTGATAATCATGAGATACATGATATATAATCATGAGATATATGATATTTTTAATTGCTTCAACAGTTATGAGTTTTCTCACGCCTCTGAGGTAATTGGTGGCACATACCTGTAACCCCAGGGGCTCAGGAGGCTGATGCAGGAGGATGGAGAGTTCAAAGCCAGTCTCAGTAATTTATCGAGGCCCTAAGAAACTCAGTGAGACCCTGTCTCTAAATAAAATACAAAAAGGGCTGGGGATGTGGCTCAGTGGTTAAGCATCCCTAGGTTCAATTCCTGGTACCCCCGCCCCCCATAAAAAAAGTATGAAGACAAACCTATGTAAGGAAAAAGAAAAGTACAAGTTGATATTCTGTAATGTGAAATATGATTAATTTAATACCAAGATAAAAGGTATCTTATTCCCTCTTTGGGTAGTGGACATTGAACCCAGAATCACTCTACCACTGAAATACATCCCTACCCCTTTTTATTTTCTGAGACAGGGTCTCACTAAATTTCTGAGTCTTTCCTTGAACTTGTGATCCTTTTCCCCGAGGAGCTGAGATTACAGGTTAAGTCACTGTGCCCAACAAAAAGTATCTTTAAATGAAGCAGAAATAAAGAAATTACTGGAATCTACAACCAGCTTGGCTAACGGTATTTGGAATTATAATGTCAGAAATATCAAGTGATGGGCTGGGGCTGTAGCTCAGTGGTAGAGTGCTTGCCTAGCATGTGTGAGTCACTGGGTTCAATTTTTAGCACTGCATATAAGTAAATAAAATAAAGGTCCATAGGCAATTAAAAAAATATTAAGAAAAGAAAAAGAAGAAGAAATATCAAGTGACTCAGGGTCAGCAAGTTTCTCAAACCCAGCTCAACTCCTGTCTAGCTCAGTGCTCAAAGAACCAACTAGGAAGCTCCAGCTCCTGTAGAACTTGGTAGAGTAGAGTGACTTGCTGTCCTCTGTGGATTCATCCTGAAGCCACACACAGTATAGGTAGTTTGCCCTACATGTCTAACTTTGCTATTCAAAGGCATCTAGTGATTTCTGAAGCCTGGCTTCAGAAAGTCAATCCTTTATTTTCACCTTGAATTCAGATCTGATGTGGGGAAATAGATTTTAGACATGAAAATTTTAGTATTTGAAAGATTAGCAAAACCAGGGCACCCGCAAACCTAATAGCCAACCTTAGTAACTCTTTGGAAAGTCACTATGTAATGGTGAAGAGGACTGCTGGACTCTCTCACACTTAGAATAAGTCATAAAACACTACTGGCTTAGAGTTGAATACTAAGAAGTTAAAACTGTGATAGCCATGCTTCGGGTATGGAACAGAACTACACAAGAGGTAAGGAATACTCACCCTGGCCAGTATGTATACAGGCTCCCTATGAGCCAGCAAATTATTTATGCACTTCACAAAGAATTACTCAGAAAACCTTCACATCAGCTACCCATCAGTGGGATGGGTACTGATATCATCCCCAATCCACAGAATATACAAGCTCACACAGAAAGCCGGGTGGAGCTGGGATTCATGATAGGCAGGCTAGAGTCAGCAGCCAAGCCCTCCACTACTACACTATGAGTGCCTGGCCTGTGCAGCACTGAGACTCAGGGGAAAATTGGCCTCTGGCCTCAAGCACTCAAGTGAGGACACAGTTCTTTCACAGCACCAAGGCCCCCTGGGCTTTTCCCATGGGGTGTAGTCAGTGTGACTCTGGGGTGAGACCTGAAAGAAATTCTCATGGCCTATTACCTCTAACAGTGCTGGTTTCTCTGTCTGCCCCTGCTTCGGAATGAGCCTCCTGTTAACCCCTGCTCTCTGTTCTCTTAACTATGAATGGATGCTTTAAGAGGAAGAGCCAGGTATGAGTAGAAGACTCAGACAGAACTTCCTGTATTTCTTCCTTGCTCTGAAGGGATCAGCAAACTGCACTGGTGGGCAACATCCTGCCCACACCTTGTTTTCCTAAAGTTTGACTGGAACACATCCACATTCATTCATTTATATATTGCCCATGGTCCAAGGCTGTTTTGCTCAAAAGAGGAGCTGAACTGTTGAGACAGAACTTTATGGATCACAATGCCTAAAATATTTATTATCTGGCCCTTTGTGGAAGAAAGTTTGCTAACTCCTATCCTAGGAGGTTCCTGGGAACCAGTAGATTGGGAAAAACTGTAAATTGTAAAGACCACAAGGTTTACAATTGAATATACATTAGAAAAAGGGTGTTTTATTTTTTGTAGCATTGAAGATAGAACCCAGAGACAATCTTCCGCTGAGCTACATCTCTAGCCCTTTTTTTCCAGCCCTTATTTATTTATTTATTTTTAAATTTTGTGACAAGTTTTCACTAAATTGCTGAGGCTGGCCTTGGAACTCATGATCGTCCTACCCTGGTCTCCCAAGTAGCTGAGATTACAGGCATGTGCCACGGTGCCAGGCTAGCAAAAGGTATTTCATATCATATTTTTAAATGATGCACTCATCTTTACATTAGAGAGAATTTCATATCATCTGGCTCTTACCCTTCATCCCCTGAGGCAAGCTCCTTCTGCCCAAGTGTCCCTGGCCCCCATGTTCGTCCCTTCTTCTTTGTGGCCCTCTTCTCCTCCTCTTCCCCTTCCTCTTTTGGGATGACTGAGCTCCGGCCCCAGGTTTTGCTGCTTTCACCTGGTGTCACTGTGCATAACAAAGGTTAGATAAGACCCAGAGAAATGAACAGACAGGACCCCATCTAAACTAGCCCCTGCCCCACCAGACAGACTGGAACAACTCAGAGTTGCAGGGAAGTTAGACCTCACCAGAAACTCTGTGCCTAAGGGACCCTTACAAGAAAGCAACGGAGTCCCCAGCTACCAACCATTTAACTCTCAAAATAAAAACATGGAGAAACTTCCCAAAGGGTTACAAGTCCAATATAAAGCTGGAGCTCAGGCCAACCAGACACCAGAGTTCCAAACAGATGTAACTGAAAGAACTTGTTTTTCTGGGTGGAATTGCATGGTGGGGGAATGAAGAGGTTAATGTGGGGTGAGGGGAGACAGTGGGTAAGGAAAATGTGGAAGAAAGGAACTATTGGAAGATAGTCTAGAAAGAAGAAAATGAGGCTTTCCAGGCTCTGGAGAAGGTGGTCAGGAAGAGGGGGAGAGGGAAAGGAAAAGATAAGGAAGGAAGAACCCTCTTCTGATGGAAAGCTATAGAGATTCGGCTCATATGAGAAATGAATGAAGTGAGCCAACTACCAAAAAAAAGGGAACTGAGGCCACCGAAGCAAAATAGGAAGCATATGGAAACTGCTATCAATTCCAGCCAACTCTGGTCACATGAAAAAAAAAAAAAAGAAAAAAAGAAATCCTCTAATGTGATCTGAATCCTCAAGGAAGGTCAGAAACCCAGGATTTTTAAGTGAAATCTATTTTCAAATTGGGAAACCACTCATTCATATACACCCACATTTACATATACAAACACACACACGTGTGTGTAAGTGTGTATGTACTTTTTTAAACAAATATTATAGTAAAAACAAAATAAGCCTAAGATTGGCCCACTATACAGTATTTGCAAGTTTTCTTAGGAGCTAAGAAAATGACTTTGGAAAAGCCATTCCTTAGGAAACATGGACAAAAGAAAAACAATAATGTCCCAAATAGGGCAGAGAGTACATTAGGTACCCAGGCCAGGATACCAACAACCTATATCTACATTATACACCAGTTTCCAGATTGCTTTGTAACTCACTGAAGATCCTTCAGCACCCAGAAATCCCTCTGCTGATATTTAACCAGGAGCAAAAGGTAAAGAAGGCAGCAGCAAAGTTAATGGAGAGGGACAGGGTAGGGCTGAGGGTCTGTGTGCATATGTACATGTATATATGTCTGTTGAGGGGGTAGGGGGCAGAAGTTATGCATGGAGCAAGCCTGGACCAGCTGGCGGTTGGACAGAGCAGGGGACAGGTTCCCTGGTGTGTTTGGGGCCCCAACTAATTTGAGAAACAGTCTCACACTGGATGGCTCGAAGGCGAGGAATGATGGTGGGGCTTGCAGGAGGGCTGGAGCGGCTGCTGATAAGACTTTTCCTTTTATCCATGGTTGGGGAGGCCTGCACCGTGAATTTGTGCTGAAAATCTGCTTGAGGAAAGACAAACACAGGAGTGTGCATTAGCCTTATCCCATCATCAAACTCGTTTAAGAGAGGTGACGTCTTCTGGCAGGCCTGAGAGACAGGCCTCAGTGCCCTGAAAAGATCTGTTTACCTGGGAAATGTTCTCTTTCAGAACCATCTCTTTTTTCCTAAGGGACATGGCAACATGAATGTATGAACTGATGGAAAATTCATTATCTGAGTGAACATCATTAGACAAGTCTTTATAAAGCTCTCTATTTAGTGTATACAGATGGAGCGATTACACATTGAGAACAGCTTTGAGCTCATGAGAGTTTGTTGATTATTCTAGAGATTGGAAATCAAAATTCTCTGTTTCAGATGATCTTCTCAGGGATCAATACAGGGAGACTAATGCTTCTCATTAAGTGTGGGCAGAGCAGGGAATCCAGGGACCAAGGGAGGTGGTCAAGTTGCCTTGATTCCAACATCATCCAAAGGCAGTTATGGTACATCACACAGAATGTAAAACCCACTTCTCTGAATTTTAGCCCCTCACCATCAGAGAGGAATGATTCTCAGCTCCTTGTCTGTACGCTGATCTCCCCAATAAACTGTGGTCCCTTTGCAGGTGGGATTATGGCTTCTATACCCGCATCCCCAGCCCACAGCAATATGCTGGCACAGGCTAAATGCTCAAAAGGTGCTTAAAGACTCTATGCTATGTGAAGAGAAAAAAAAAAATGTACAAAAGAAAACAGCAAACATGTTCTGTGGGCACACCCTCTCAATTTCAGTGAATGAATTCCCTTGTCTATGCCTAAGCCACCGTCTTAGGCTTACCATCCTCCACAGGTGCTCTCATCAGACCATTTTTCCTTGGTTCCTACCTTCTAATAAGCTTGCTTCCTGGGGTTTTATAGATTCAGAGCACTTTTATCTACATAAAAACTCATTTAAGGGCTGGGGTTATAGCTCAGTGGTATAGAGCGCTTGCCTCACACGTGTGTGAGACCCTGGGTTTGATCCTCAGTACCATATAAAAATGAATAAATAAATAAAGATATTGTGTCCATTAAAAACAAAACACACTTAAGCACTCACCTCCCTTGACGGATATATTATAATATCACAAAGATTCTATTTCATATTTCCTTGCATTTCCCCCAAGGCTACAGTAACACAAATGATGGACCTTTATTCATCCAGTGCACTTCTAAAGGTTATGTGTAAACCTTATGATGTAAATTCTTATGCACTAACCTAATCTCAACTATCCTCAGAGAACTAATTAAGTAAAGAAACCTTGGGGTGATGGGTTGTACAGAGCCAATACTCCTCTAGTTTCACATACACAGTCCTGGAATTTTCTCCCTGTTAGAAGCCTCCTTCTCCAGGTTTGTCTGAAGGGAGATGCACCTGGGTAGGCTGCCACGCTTCCAGCAGCCAGACCTTGCGAGTCTGTCTTCACACTGTGTTCACTCACACCCCCCGCAGTTTCCCTGGAGTGGGGCAGATTTTCAGCAAGCCAGTCTTTCCACTGAACAGAATGGCCCATGACAACAGGTGACACTCGGGCATGGGTCCCACAAACTCCTGCCACACCGGCTCCTCACTCCCCTCCCACTTTAGGCACCCAGCCACTGACCAGAGGGAAGGCTGATGCGGTTGCCATCCTTGAGCTTCAGCCGGCTCTTCCGGAACTTGCCCTTGCGTTTCTTCACCCGGGGCTTCTCCTGGCACAGCTGGTGGATGATGATGTTGAGCTCCCTTTCCAGGATGTCGATCTCCCGCTCGGCCAGCTCCTGCTCCCGGCGCCGGAGCAGCTCCTCCTGGTTCTTCTGCTGGAGTGCAGCCCGCGTCAGCTCCTCCTCCCAGGTGCGGAGCTCCTGCAGAATGGGAGGAACCATCAGAGGGAAGGGCAGGGTCCTCCATGCGGAGGGGCTCTGGAGTAAGGCCTGAGAGCTCAAAGGGCTCTCGCTCACGGCATCCTGGAGAGCTCTCCCATGATGACTCATGGATAGAGGGGGCTGAGCTGGTAAGTGAACATCTGAGCACCCTCAGTCATGGGGAAAGGAAGGCTCAGAACAGCCATCCTGAGATACAACCAGAGATGCTAATACTGAAGGCCAAGCTCTAGAGACAGGGCAGGAGGAGCAATGAGGACATGACAAATAACATAAGTCACTAGCACTAACAACATAGACAGGGAACAATTATTATCCTATTGCATAAGACAAATCATATAAATTATAACAGCTGGCACATAGTACATGTTCTTCAAAAGCTAGCTATTATGGGTTTGACTCTTTGTGGAATAACAGTGCCCCTGGACCTTGGGGCTACATCTCAAGACCCCAGTGCATGCCTAAAACCCCAAATAGTATCAAACCCTACATATACTATGTTTCTTCCTGTAACACATACCTGTGAAAAAAGTTTAATTTATAAATTAGGCACAGTATAAGATTTATAACAATAACCAATAATAAGGTAGAATTATAGCAATATAATAAAATCACCAGCATCACTACTCTCATGCGTTGGGGCCATTATTAAGTAAAATAAGTGTTACTTGAACATGAGCACTGATAGAGGATGAGTGGATCTGATAACTGAGACAGCCACTGAGTGACTAACAGGCAGGTAGTGTACACAGTCAGAGGGATGGCTGGCGTCCCTACTGGGACATCATGAGATTTTACCCCCCTACTTAGAATGGAAAGCAATTTAAAACTTATGGATTGTTCACTTCTGTAATGTTCCGTTTAATATTTTTTGAACCATAGCTGACCATGGGTAACTGAAACCACAGAAAGCAAAACCGTGGAAAATGGAAGGGGGCAGTGGAATTACTGCAGCTACCTGCTGACAAAATATGGTCTTCATTTTTCTTACTGGCATATATAATATATGTATATATAAATATATGTAATATATGTATATATAAATATACATATGTATTTATAACCATATATACATATGTATATTTATATATATTATAGTTTTATTGACCAAAAGAAAGGTAACCAAGAGTCACTGGTTAACCATCTAAAAAGAAGCTGATCATTCTGGGAGTTCTAGCTGGAACAATAATGATAGAAGTGTCTCGTGATTATCCCATTCAATGGCCAGTTCAGAGCCACCCAATATCTGTCCTAAGCTTACTCCACTCCCCTGCAGAACCCTCAATATTAAACTGTACAAGGTACATATTGTTATGTACCATAGGAGTCTAATCTCTTCAAATCAGATCCAGAAATTATTTATAAGTCATTTGTGTAAGGGAACAACCTTAATATTGCAAAGAACACAGATTTCAGAATCAGAAGGCCCAGGTTCAAGGTCCTGCTGCCCCACTTACTAGCTCTGATGACAAGGAGGCCACTGACCCTCAGCTCTGACACGGGAACAATAATACCTTCCCTATACGCTGGTGACAGGGCTCTGGATAAACAGGACAAAAAGGTCTCATCAGATCTCCCAAGCAAAATAACTGGGAACAATAAAGCATGTACAATTTTAGCTACATGCAATTTTAGCTTTCATACTTCTAGTAACTTCCCAACTTCCCACAATGCAGAGTGAGAAGGGGAAAAAGAAATTAACCAAGTCTCTGTGGACAACCCTCAGGGGCCCCGCTATATTTAGGCGTGCTCTTACAGTGTGAGCCACACAATTGCTTACGACTGGCTTTGCCTATGTGGACGCTGTCTACTAGAGTCACAGCAAAGAGGTAAAGAGGGGCCATTTGGGGAATGGCCACTAAAACCAAAAGACAGATCTCCAGCAGGCCAGGAGTCTCTGAACTCCCCAGATGGTTTGCGCTTGGAACCCTTTCCATGAAAAATGTCCCACAATTTCAGACCCATGGCATTCCTGGCCCGTATTCTGTTTCTGATACCAAAACACTGGGCAGGATGTTCTGATTGCTATTCTCATATTGAATTATCCCTATATGAAGCTAAAGTCCTTCTGGAAGTCCATCGTAGAACCAAGAGACCTTCTCGGAAGTCTCTCGTAATTGTGGCTGGCAGATTGAGATACCACTGTCCAGTGGTGCTTTTCCTCTGACTTGGACAATTAAATAGCTACCCAGCAGGAAGGTGGTCAGGGCAGGTCAGAAGCAGGGTGGTTGGACAGACTGAGTCCAGAGGCCCCGCTGGAGAAGGTCCACTGAGCCAGCGCCTGCCTTTTTTCTCTCTTACCTTTTCTTTGGCCCTGAGTTGGTCAAACATCTCCTGAATCTCATGTTTCCAGTCATCCTGCAGGCAGTGGAAGGAGTCCTTGGGCATTTCAAAGAAACCGGACTCCTCTATGGTGGTTAGCTGGTCCAGGATACTCGTGAAAGATGGTCGTGAATGGGGGTCGGGATTCCAGCAGTCTGAATGGGAAGCGTGAGGAAACAGAAAGCATGAATGGACTGAGACAAACAGAAGACTTAGGGTATTACATGACTTCATTTACCAGAAAACTATCTCTTCTTTCTCCTTCCCAAAACTGAGACTGGAATTGAGGTAACACCAAGCAGGACTCAAGAGTTAAGCAGGCTGCCCAGCATCACAACCATGGAGAGCAAAACTGGAAATCAAACACAGCTGCTCTGCACCCATCCAGTTCTGATGTGAATGAAGCATAAGGAAAGCAAACCCGAAGAGTTTTCTGTGTACAGTACTGTTACCACGATCAACCATGTTACTATACAATTCAAGTCTTGACAAAGGGTAATTACAGCCTGAGCCTCGATTTCCCATAAATACATGAGTTGCCCTTCCTCAACTCAATGGAATGAACAGAAGGAAAAGATAAAAATGGGAATCAAGAAAAGCCACGAATTAGCAGAATGGTCAGTTACCCACTTAACCTTGATTAGCTTTGTATTTCTCACTTACAAAATTAGGGCATTTTCCCAGAGGACTTTAGAGTTCCTTTTTTCCCCAATGTTCATTTCTACAAGACACTCAGAGGTCCTGAAATAAAAACTACTATACCTTCTCATTTTATATATTTTTTAAACATTTATTTTTTAGTTGTAGGTACACACAATAGCTTTATTATTCTTATGTGGTGCTGAGGATTGAACTCAGTGCCTCACATGCTAGGCAAGGGCTCCACAACCCCAGCCCTTATCTTCTTATTTTATATTAATAAGATCATGAAGTACTGGACAGCAGGTTTTAGTTACTAAGTTACCTTCTATTGATATTGTACATGGGCAGAAGGGCCCTGCCTCAGCAGGAAGTAGCTCTTTCAATGGCCCAAAGGACTCCTCATCTTGTGAAACTGGACAATATCAATCAAGTGCTATCAAAAGGTAAACTGTCTCCAGTTTTGTTCAGGCCGGGGCTACTTACCTTCCATGAGTTTGGCAAAAGGTTCTGGGCAGGTAGAAGGTATAGGAAGGGCAAGTTTGTTCATGGCCACTCCATAAGCCACTGCTAAGCCATCAATACCTCGGAAGGGCACCTCGCCAGTCAGCAGCTCCCAAAGCAGCACCCCATAGCTAGGGACAAGAAGAAGACAGAAGAGATATAATAATCATAACTACAACCTCACGAAATAGCTCTCAAGCCTGCATCAAGCACTCCATGTTCTCCCTAACCATAGGAACACTAATGGAACAGACCAACTAGTTAAATAGAAAAGGGAAACCACAAAGTCTACCAGCTAAAAACAAAACCTACAGAGTCAAGCACACTTCATTTCAAAGTCTATTCCATCATTCCCAGGTATGCCACCATGGGCAAATTACTACGTCTCTCTGTAAGCCTCTAATTCCTCATCTATCGAGAGCAATAACATTTATCAGTCTCAGAAGGCTGTCACAAAACTAAATAACTTTAAATAAGTGCACAATGGCCATAGCTATTTTACTGTTCTCAATTAAATAAACTAAGAGGACAGGCAATCTCTCAAACATAATTTTTTTCTGTTTCAAGAAAATGTCAGTTTTTGTCACAGATACACATTTTTTTTAGCTTTAGAAAAGCAGATAGCTTACAATTCAACACAGATTTTGGTCCTGTAAAAGGCTTCTTTAAATACCCGTAAGGTTAAGTAGATTCCTGCCCCCAAATCAGTATGAGTGGGTCCTTCACAGAGACTTCTGTTTCACAAGGCAGACCTGGGTCGGGGCAGAGTGGTGTGTAGACTGTGAGAACTGCAGTGTGCCCTCCCTACCTTTCAGATTCACGTAAGAATTTCTCAGGTCCTAATAGAGAATGAATCGTAGAAAGCTTAGTGGAAGAATTATTCTATGAATTCACAATCAAAATCAGGCAAAATCACATAGCATTCAATCCTTTGAAGAATTTATGCCTGTAATCCCAGCAACTCGGGAAGCTGAGGCAGGAGGATCACAAGTTTGAGGTCAGCCTGTGAAACTAAGTGAGACCCTGTCTCAAAATAAGACATTAAAGGGGGGGGGGGCGGGCTGGGCTCAATGATATAGCACCCTTGGGTTCAATCCCTAGTACCATCAAAAAAAAAAAAAAGAGAGAGAGAGAAAAAAAAGTCAGAACAAGAAACTATAAGGCTATGAACGGTCAAAGACCTTCACTCAACACCAACCTCAAATTTCTTGTAATGTACATCTTTAGTGTGCATCCAGCAACAAAGACCATATTAATTAAAAAAATAATAAACTCAGTAGATATTCTGTATACGCAGAATGCTGTAATACTTGAATCTTGAATCTCTACAACAAGCCTGTGCAGTGAGTACTGTCTTTATTGGGCAAATGAGGAGAGCGATTCCTAGACAAGTTCAGTGGCATACATGGAGGACATCACGGTGGCCCTGGGAACTCTCAATTCCCTCTCTCTAGAACACCCTTCTACCGTCCTCTGCTTGGTAATGCTAATCATCTTTCAGGATCTAACTCAAATGCCCAGCCCTTCACCCATTCATTTTAAACATCTAGCAAATGTTTTCTAGGCATAAAGCTCAATGCCAGGCACTGGGATACAAGACACAGATCTTATCAGAACAGAGACTAGTGAGAGGGATAAAGAGGATGACAGCTAGAATACAGAGTGATGAGTCACAACAGAGATGCTGCGACAGGAAGGAGGATCACTAAAACCCGGTCAGGATGGGATCAGGAGGTGGCCCTCCAGCTAAGCCCCGCTGTTAAGGGAAGGAGCAGCAGAGCAGGGACAGGGTAAGCATGTGGAGGCGAGCAATCCAGACCACAGGTTTTCCTCTTGAAGACTCCCAAGTGATCAAGCCTGGCTCCAAAAAAACAATGTGCGAGGGCACTGGAGTTAAAGGTCTCCTTGGACTGTGCGTTAATCCCAGTATGGCCTCCAGAGATCATCATTTTCTTTATGTATCTTGACAAGGAAATAGACAATTGCAGGTCTAGACAAGAAGGTAGATTTCAGTTGGTGGCTGATGGACACTTTGGGAAGCCTTTCCCGACGTCCCCTTGTTTGGGCTTCCTTGCACTGTAGTTGTTTGTTTAAAGCCTAAGAGCTCCTAGAGGGCAGGGGTGGCAGTTTTTAATCTTTGGATTCTCAGACTAGTCTGGCTCTGCACACAAGTGCTCACAGACATGTGAATTGGTAGAAGGGCGTGGGAATGAATGCCGACTGCACTGGGTGTGCTCGAGTAAGCCTTGCACACCCTCAAGAATTGCACGAGTGTACTTCCTGCCAAACCTTAAATGTGACTTAATCAGACAGTGGTCATACTCGGTAACTTCTACAGAGTGATCCTGAAGAAACTTCAGCATTGCTGTCCACCTTCCAAGGTGAGAGCCACTCCCACCTTTAGCTGCTTGCTCTTAGCACCAGTGCCCACTCCATCCTGGAGAACAAAGACTGAAGTCCCATAGAACCCCCGTTGTCACAGGGCCTGACCTTGGACCCTCATGGAGGAATGCTTATCTTGCTCATTGTGCAGCAGGGAAGTCCTAACATAGAACACTGTGTTTTGGGACATAGTGCTGTCAGAACACTGGTAAACACCATTTTCTTGCTCCTTTGAAAAAAAGTTATTTTCCTGTTGGTGCAAGGTCAGCCTACGAGGCAGTTTCAAAACTCTGGTGTCTAGACTCCCATAAGATGATATGTTGTATATCACCTCTGGTCAGTCGTGACTGTTATATGCAAATTGGCACACACCCACTATAAAAGCTATTTTTGCTATGCAATAAAGCTGATGCTGTTCTCTGAAACCATCTCCATTGGGGTTTCTCTGTATCCTCCAGTTCCCCAGGACAGGCCCCTCAGCACCCAATCTTCCATCTAGTCTAAGACAACCAGTTTCCGAGCCCTAAATACCTGGAAAGACAGGGGAATGCTTCAAAGGCTCCAACTTTCCCTGTCTGTGCACAGGTATCTCCTTTGTGATAGTTTTCACACTGAGCCCTGAGTGTCCTGTGGAGATGTCTTGGGGCACCCAGAAGAGAGAAGATCCTGGGATCCTACCCTTCTCCGTTTTGACAAGGCAGCTCTGCTCTAACTGTGCTTGTCTGTTCTGCTCAAAGGGCTCTACAGCTAAGAGAAGCATGTGGACTGTTGCTTGAGTGTGAGCAACGCTAATACAGAAAGATAATACACATCTGACTCAAATGCCCACGCTACCACTTACCAGCCACATGCCCTTGAGGAAGCAAGGTCACCTCATCTGTACACCTCATCTGTCTTCCTTAAGACTGCAGTATGCACCTTACAGAGTAGTTACAAGCAAAAGTAATAGCAACAGGCACTCTCCACCCCAAAATCACCATCTATGGCTAGTAAATATGTGCGATTTCTTCTCGGAAAGGGCCTGAAATGAGGAAGAGTCTGGAACTGATAAGGTAGAGCCCCAGCGTCTGGTGAGAGCCTTGCTGAGGGACACCATGACTCAGAGAGGCAGCCTTTCTGGAGATGATGTAACCCATCAGTTTTCTTGTGCCAAGGTTCTCTTTGTTTTTGCAATGAATAAATGAAGACTTGGTACTTCTTTGGCAGGAATAGAGTCCAAGAAAGAAAGTGCAGAAAGACAAGTTAGGTGGACGTGAACACCAGGGTAGGTGGGCAGGAGAGGTCAGTGCAATAGAGCTCAGGCTCACTTCACCTTGTTGCCCTCCCAGGGTTGGAACACGATGAAGAGGTCCTTTATAAGCTGACCCTTTGGAAAGGTCAGCTCAGATAAATCTCAGTCCCTCCCCTCAAGGTAGAGCCACCAGCCCCCTCACTGCTGAACCCAAGTCTCTTGTGAATTCACTCTTGGATTAATAATTAACCACCTCCAGAAGTTCAGTAATCGCTTCGACCGACCGTTTCAGACGGTCAGGGAAGGGGTGTTCAATTCTTCTGAAAGTAAGGAAAATGATGAGAGTGGATACAACCCTTCCAACCAGAGGGACAGCACTTCCTCTTATTAACCTGGGTCATCTCTACGGCTACCAGCTTGGGCCGTGCTGTGAAAGTAGATCATTCGTTTCCCTTGAATGAGGAGGGCTGGGGAATGACTTGCACGTGGCAACTGTCTGATCTCACGGTCCAGGAACCACACTGACTATCTAATAATCTTTGGCAACGATTACTGAAATAATTTCATCTGAAAGCATTTCAAATCTGTAATGTAACATATAATTTTTCTTCTGGTTTTTAACTCATTCAAACCAATAAATTATTAACACACATATGTATGCAATGTATACTGTTATGGTTTGGATGTGAGGTATCTCGAAAAGCTCACGAGACAGTGCAATAAGGTTCAAAGGAGAAATGATTGGGTTGTAAGAGTCTTAACCCAATCAGTGATTTAATCCCCTGATAGGGGTTAATTGAGTGTTAACTGAAGTGGTAGGGTGTGGCTGGAGGAGGTGGGAATTGGGGCATGGCTTTGGAATATATTTGTATCTGGCGAGTCAACTCTCTGCTTTCTGATAACCTGTGAGCTGCTTCCCTCTGCCACACCTTTCTACCATGATATTCTGCCTCACCTCAAGGCCTGAGAAATGGAGCCTGCTCTCTATGAATTGAGACCTCTGAAATCATGAGCCTCTAAATAAACCTTTCCTCCTCTATAGTTGTTCTGGTCGGGTCTTTTAGTCGTAGCAGCAAAAAAGCTAAAATATATGTTACTATGTCTAGTGACATCATAACATTCATTTATGTGGTAATATATCCTTGCTATATTGCATTTTAACAGCAGCTTATAAAACAGAATGATCCCATTTTAAGGGATGGGTGGCTCAGCACACAAATAGACATGAACAATGGGAAGTTATATTCCATGCATGTATGATATGTCGAAATGCATTACTGTCATGTATAATTAAAAAGAATAAAAATTTTTAAAAAATAGTGAGCATATCAAAATACCAATATAGGCTATCTCTCTAAATGGTTTTAGGGTGTTTTCTTTTATTTTTTGTTTTTCTATATTTTCTAATTTGTTTCTGCAGGGAGCATGTTTTATTGTTGTAATTTTAAAATTATTATTGTAATTTTAAAACTCAAAATGATTCAGAAAATGCTTCCACTTTGTCCTGCATATGACAGGTAAGACATCCTCGGAGGAAGAGGCCCTTGGCTCTAATCACTGCTTTCCCCGCACAGCACAACATACAGGAAGAGGATGCCCAAAGCACAGGAACCAGGACATATAGCTGGTGACACAGTAACACTGTATAAGTATTGCCATATGTTTGTTTGGTTTTTTGTGTGTGTGTATCAATGTGTATGTACCAAGGATTGAACCCAGGGTACTTAACCAATAAGCCACATCTCTAGCCCTATTTTTTTTTTTTTTTTTGAGACAGAGTCTCACTAAGTTGCTTAGAGCCTCACTTAGTTGCTGGCTTTGAACTTGCGATCCTGAGCCACTGGGATCACAGGTATGGGCCACTGCACCCAGCAAGCACTGCCATATGTATATCAATAGGCGCACATTTTCCTCTGATAAAGGTGCATTCCTCAGCACATGCCCAGGAGAACTGAATTTAGGAACACAAACCTGAATATGCTCCCCAAAAAACTCATACACAAATGTCCACAACCTATTCATAATAGCCCCAAAGTGAACACAACACAAATGTCCATTACCTGACAAACAAGTAAGCACATGTGGCCTATTTACATGTTCATATACTATAAAAACTGTAAAAAGAATGCATTTCTGATGTAAGCTCTGAGATGGATGAACCTTGAAGACATTAGGCTAAATGTAAGAAGTAACTCACAAGAGCACACATATCCTATGATTCCATGAATGTGAAACAGCCAAAATAGGAAAAGCCATAGACAGAAGACAAGTTAGTGGTTGCTGAAAAGCAGGGGGAGGACAGATTGGGCAATGGCTGAAATAGATATGGGGTTTCTTTTCTTGAGTGATAACACATGTTCTGAAAATAGGCAGTGGTTGTAGTGAGTTGAATGGTACCCTAAAAAGATCTTGATGTTCTAATATCTAGAATCCTCATTGGAATTAGGACTGTCTCTAGAGGGTGTGATCCTGAGACACCCACTTTAGACCTGTCTGGCCTCCAGAACTATAAAAGAATATATTTCTGTTGCTTTAAGTCACTTGGTTTGTACTAATCTGTTTCTATAGCCCTAGGAAACTAATGACAGTGGTGATCAATACACAACTTTTTTTATATTAAAAATCAATGACGGGCTGGGGTTGTGGCTCAGTGGTAAAGCACTCGCCTAGCATGAGTGAGGCCCTGGGTTCGATCCTCAGCACTACGTAAAAATAAATAAATAAAATAAAGATATTGTGCCCAACTACAACTAAATAATAAATAAATATTTTTTTTAAAAAATCAATGACTAAGGGCTGGGGCTGTAGCTAAGTGGCAGAACACTTGCCTAGCATGCATGAGGCACTAGGTTCGATCCTTAGCACCACATATAAGTGAACAAACAAATTAAAGGTATTCTGTACATCTACAACTACAAATAAAATTTTTTAAAAAATCAATGACTTACATACTTTAAAGGGTGAGTTTTATTGTCTAAGAACTAACTTCATAGACTGATAGGTGCTAACAAACCGTAGTCCTTGCTTTTGAATACCAAGGCAATACTACTATCCCCTGGCCATGAGATGTGTACTCTGTAGTTGCTCCTCCTTCCTTAATCAGGGCAAGACCTTTTAGATCCATGTCCTTATGCCTCTTGGGCTGACGCTTACTTGGGAGATAGTTGGTCATATCTAGTCTGTAACTCTGCAATTCATGGGGTACACTGAGGGGCCATCTTTTCCCATTTCTAGATCAATGTCCAGTAGACACAGCCTTGAGTAAAAGATTAACTGGATAATTCCAAGCTACCAAGAAAAAAAAAAAAAAGAGACAGCACAAAGAATACTCATTGGCTAGGGAAATTACAGAGAGGACACTGGGTTAAACCCTCCCCAAGTCCCACGGTAATGGCCACTGAAGTTGAGCAATCTAGGCTTACCCTGGGGAAGATCTCTAAGAGTGAACAGTGCCCTTACCATCCTCCAGGTCAGAGATGAGAGAACACGGTGCCCCCTGCAACCTACTGGCCTTTCCAGGAAGCAATTTCCAACATAAAAGGGCCCAGAAGGAGGTGATCTATCTATTTGTTCATTCATTTATTTGGGGGGCACTGGGGATTTAACCCAGGGGCACTTTACTGAGTCCCTAGTCCTTTATTTTTAATTTTGAGACAGGGTCTCACTAAGTTACTTAGGGTCTCGCTGAGTTGCTGAAGCTGACCTTGAACTTGGTGATCCTCCTGCCTTAGCTTCCCAAGCCACTGGGATTACAGCCGTGCAGCACTGCACCCGGTATTTTTGCTAGATGAAAACATCTACCAAAACTGTCTCTTGGCACCATGGAAATTAACACAGATTGCCCTTAGGGTGTCACTCAGACCTACTTGGGATGCCTACTTGGGGTGACCTAAGATCTCCAAGTCCTGAAACGTGTGCAGCCAAAACAGTCCTGGGGAACACTACCTCTGCACCTCAGGTCCTTACCTCCACACGTCACTGCCTTTGGAAAACGTAGAGGCACGAATGACTTCAGGAGCCATCCAGGCATAAGTCCCTGCTGCACTCATCTTAGTGGTTCGGTGCCATTCCCGAGCCAGGCCAAAATCAGTGATCTTCAGTATCTTGTTGCTCAGGTCTCCATTCTCCACCTTCTGCAGGATCAGTACTAGACAAGGAAAGGAAGACAGAAGAAATCAGAGTCTACATTAATCACAGGGAAACCACTAAACACAAAGCCCTCCTGCTGTCCTCTTGGCCTCTTCTGTAGGTTCCTCGTGGTGCTATCAGAGCCTGATAGCAGGAGCCACCATCTCTTAAACACCTACACTGCATTCACCTTTGAGCCCCCTGTTTTATTGGTACAAACATAAATGCAGTAGAGGATTAGAGGTGATGTCCCACAACTACCTTAAAAGGTAGCTTCTTCAGGTTGAGCATCCCTAATCCAAGTATGATTGATTTAGGAGTGTTCAACCAGTGAAATCTGAACAAATATTCCCAAACCTGAGAAAAATCCCAAATCTGAAACACTTCTGGACCCAAGTACTTTTTTAAAATAATTTTTTAATAACGTTATTTTTATGCGGTGCTGAGGATCAAACCCATATGCCACAAATGTGCTAGACCATTGAGCCAGAACCCCAACCCCTAAGTACCTTTAATACTCAACTAGTGTTGCCATCTTCATTTCACAGATGAGGAAACTGTGCTATAGCATTATTACACAAATCACCAAGGTTACCCAATTAATAATCCAGGACTGAGTCCCAGGCAGCCAGACTCCAGAGACTGCTCTCTTCACCTATAGCCTGATCCCATCTTGTGAAAGAAGAGCTATGAATCACAGGTGACCCTCCAAGGAGTAGCTACTTGTTTGCCAGGGTACCCCTAGGTTATAACCACTCACAGATCACAGGGGTTGGAGGCAAATATTGGATTTTCAAGGTTTCAGACGGCATCTGGACAGCATCCGTGATCACATTACTTTACTCTTAAGAAAGCACATCTATTGGGCTCTGGAAATTTTGGCATAATCCAGTAACTTCCCCCAAACACCAATACAGAATGAGTGATGAGTTGGCAAGGTTACAGGCACAAACAAGTTCACACCCCGGATGCTTTTGGGACCATAGCCCAGGAAGGAGGAACCAGGGCACCAAAGCAGTTATACTCTGGTTCCTAACAGGTGCCAAACTCAAACACGGAAGCTCCATCTTGGTTCCCCTAGGGCAGCAGCTGAGGCAGCCTCCCCCTTCTATTGCTAATCCCAGTGATTAATGTGTCCTTGTGGGAGCCAAACTTGCTAAAAAGACTCAAAACACTAATCGACTGGAGTACTGTAAGGTAAGCCAAGGAATTCTGCTGACTGGGCAGCCAGCAAGCGAGCTCTTTGGCCATGTGGAAGCCAAGCCTCCATCCTCACAAGTGGTAAAGTTCCAAAGGCTCCATGCAAGCACTGCTGCTCATGGGTCAGACACTAGGGCACCTGAAATTCAGGGCTCAACAGGCTGCTGTTTAGAGAAAAGAGGAAGGTTCCCCCCCTCGTCCATGCCACACAAGCCCAAATGGCAAGGGTGGCAAAGGAACCTGATGCAGACAGAATAGCAATAAGAAGTGCTGACTTAGCTCCACCCAGCCAGATCTATCTAGAGGAACAGCAAAGAGAGTACACAATAGTTCTCAGCCCTATGTGTGCCAGGGTACTCCAAAGGGCTTCCCACTAGCTCTAACTCCCTCGGCTGGTTCTCCAGTTATCCCACAGAGCCTCAAGAAGGTTGAACCTTTATCTCCTAAGAGGTATGTGCATCAGCAGACTCTGTGAGAGTTCAAACACTTCCATATCTATATGGAAGGAATCCATGTGGATTCCTTTGGGTAGATAGTTCAGGGCATGGGTTTGAGGCAGGGGCCTCAAGTCACAGCCTGTCCCCCAGATCAAGGTCCATTTAATTGTTATATATTGAAAGAATGTGGGTCAAAGATCTGTGTCCTACGTGCTTCTCAGAAAAGCAGCAGCTCAGAGGGATTACCAGCAGCTATAGAGCTGGAGGCACAAAAGAAAGCAGCCACTCCCCAGACCTAATGGACAAAGGCTCTTTCCCCCACACCCTCCCCCTCCTCCCTGGACACACCCCTCCCCACCCCAGGCTTCCAGCATCTTGAGTGGGTACAGGCCTCCAAATGCTTGGGCAGGTTTTCAAAAAGAAAAGGAAAGGGAAAAAAAAATCTTTCTCCATGTCTATTAACAAAAGATCTTTCCAGACTCTTCTGTGGCAGAGATAACGGACAAGTAGACATTCAAGCTGCAGGCAAGTGACACTAAAGAAACCCTCCATTCCCTCTCCAGAGGCAGCCACCAGCTGCTGACTGTCTCATAGCCACCCATAAACAGAAGATTCAGAAGGAATCCTTCCCTTCCCCTTTCATACTCAGTGGGGTTAGTGGCTGGCACCCCCCACCCCACCCCCCAACGTGGCTGGGACAGGGCACAGCGGGAGGAGAATGAAGTTTCATATTAGTGTAAGAGTTGGCTTAATAAGTGTGGCAGAACGATGGGCCAAGAACAAGCCAGGGACAGTCTGTCTGAATGAGAATGCCTTTATATAGGATGGCTAGGCTAGGTTCCACTAATTGCCACAGTCCCCTGCTGCCTGACACCCAGCTGACCTTAAACACTTGCTCAACTGCTCAGGGCCCCTAAAGGTATCTGCTTTAGGAATGCACGGTTTAGGAGTCCTAACCTTATCAAAATAGAGAAGGTGTAATCAAAAAACATCCAGAAATCTTGGCAGAGGGTCACAGACAATAGTGTCCTGAAATATGGTAACTACAAAGCATCAGTTATTAATAATTAAAGCACATAAATTTGTGAAAGCGTTCCTCGTTTTGTTTTTGTTGACCTTTTTACTGAGATGAAATCTGAACAATATAAAATTAACCATTTTAAAGTGAATAATTCAGTGGCATTTAGTATTTTTACAATGTTGTAGATCCATCACTCTTATCTACCTTCAAAAAACATCTTTATGCAGCTGAGGCTGTGGCTCACGGGTAGAGCACTCACCTAGCACGTTTGAGGCGCTAGGTTCAATCCTCAGCACCATATAAAAATAAATAAAATAAGGGTATATTAAAAAAAAAAGTTACTTCCCCGAAAAGGAAGTCTTACACCCATTCCCTGTTCTTCCCTCCCCTCAGTCCCAGCTATCACCAATGTGCTGTCTCTACAATTTACCTTTCTGAATATTTCATATAAGCAAAACACAATATGCTATAGCTGGCTTATTTCACTTAGTGTTTTCAAGGTTTATCCATATTATAGCTTATATCAGTACAGCTTTCATCTGTTTTTCAGTCCTAGAGATTGAACACAAAGGTACTCTACATACCCAGTCCTCTATTTTATTTTGAGACAGAGTCTTTCTAGATGGCACTAAACTTACAATTCTCCTGCCTTAGCTTCCTGAGTAGCTGGGATTACAGGTGTGCCCCACTGTATCTGGCATTTGACATTCCTTTTTATGGTTGAATAATGTTCCATTTTGTGTGTGTATGTGACAATTTGTTTATCCATTCATCCATTGACATCTGAGTCATCTCAGCTTTCTGGCTACTGAGAACAGTGTTGAATATGTATAGATATGTTTATGCAACTATTTCAATTTTCATACCTAGAAATAGAATTGCTGAGTCACATGGCAATTCTATAGCTAACTTCTTGAGGAACTACCAAACTGTTTTCCATAGCAGCTGAACCATTTTTGCATTTTCACCAGCAGAATATGAGGGTTCCAATTTCTCCACACCCTCACCATGCTCAGAACACACATATTTCTATCATCATCATCCCCATCCTTGTGCATATGAAGTAGAGTCTCTTTGTGATCTGGATTTGCATTTTCCTAGTGGACTAACGATGCTGAACCTTTTTTCATGTGCTTGTTGGGCATTTGCATATCTTCTCTGGAGAAATGTCTATTCAGTCCTTTACCCAATTTTTTAAGCAGGTGATTTTTTTTTTTTTGTAAGAACTCTCTATACATTGAAAACTGTTATCTGATAAATGATTTGTGAGTATTTTCCCCATTCTATAAGTTGTCTTCACTTACTTTAGTTTTCTTTGATGTACAAAAGTTTTTAATTTAGATGAAGTCCACTTTATCTACATTTTCCTTTGTTGCTCATGCTTTCGGTGTAATATCTAAGAATCCAATGCCAAACCCAAGGTCATTAAGATTTATCTCTATGTTTTCTTCTAAGACTTTTAGCTTTTACACTTAGGTCACTGACCCATTATTTGTTAACTTCTATGTAGCATATGAGATAAGGGTCCAACTTCATGTGGCTATCTAGCCGTCCTAGCACCATTTGAAGAGGAAAGCTTTAAAACATAAAGAGTACAGTTTTCTTCCAACATGCTAACCTGGGCAGGTGAGAAAGGTTATAGTCACAATAGTTTATACATCAGTAGCACTGCAGTGAGCCCATTATGAGTTTCTACCACTGATGAGCAGCTGTGATAATAACAAATAATTGTGCTTTCATGTCTTAGAAACCATATCCAGGAGAGTATATTGTGCAGCCCTCACCTCTCATGTGCAGGGAAGTAGAGAAAATACTGAGAACAATGAATGATCCCAGGCCTAAGTCAATAGGAGCCTGGTCAGGGTCAGGCGAACTAAAAAAAGAAAAAAGAAAAAGATGCACTTGAACTAAAGACCTGGTGATTAACCAGATACAGGAGCTTGATGGAGAAGAGAAGAGTCTCCAGCCTTTTGTGGTGGCAAGAAGAATGGTGGTAGTTCAACTGGGAAGTTGAGGGGAAAAAGCCCATTTGAGGAAGCCAAGTTCAATGTTGGACCATAGATCTAGGCTGATAGTAGCCAGAGTCATAGGAAACAGGCAAAGAGAGTAGATAACTGAAATCCCAGGCTTGACACTCTGTCTATGTGATTCTGGACAAATCCACAAACTCTACTTCTAGAAAATGGAAATAAAAATTAAATGCATGACAGTAACACAGAAGCTAGCAGAGTGCCTGCCACATATACAGGCACCTAGAACATGTTAGCTAGTATTATTATGATGAAATATACTATACATGGGACTCTGAAATTAAGTATTTGATGGGGAAAGCCTGGCAGTCCCTGACACATAATAACCA